TGGCGGAATAGCAAATCCCAGCATTGGTTCTTAATCAGAGCCTGTTGCAAACTGCAGAATGTTGCCAAGTGTGACACCAAATCTGCGTCCACTAGAAACTTCTCTTAGGTACTTTGAAAATTTGTCATAGGTTTGTAGCTGGAACTTGTGGGAATTGGAGCCTTCCTCTGAAAAGGAAGGCTTCAGAAAAGAAACCAACTTCTTTCTGGTAAGAAGGTATGCTTCAGAGGGTCGCATCAGGTGAAGGAACAAGGGACAACTTCATACAAGTGAAGCTTTTGCCCTTCTCAGGCAGGAAACACATGTCCTTGGCTGCTTACTAAAAAACAGCGCTTGAAGAATATCTTCAGGAATGAAGCGAGGAATAGGACCATTCTGTAGGATACTAACGGCCATAATGGTACCCACATTAACGTAGTCATCAGCAAGTAGCTCCCTGAGGCATTTGTCAAAGTATAYTTCCTTGATTTTCTRCAGGCAGAGACGAAAGAATTCTTTTCGAGGTCCACCAAGATCGTTCGCAATTTCCCCATAGAAAGTGACTTGMATTGTTAGGCTGAAGTCACTGATTTCATTTATTTCTTCAAAAGCAGATCTCAGTATGTTAAACCTATTGAAGGAATAAACAAAAAACAAATTGTTAAAGTGAAAGTGATTCAGAATTGTTAAAAAAAATTATGATGAGTTCTTCCTCAATGGCATATTTKTCAGGAGTGGATTTAATAGATGATTGCAATTTATCTTTTATTCCTTCCAATAGGTAGAGTACAAACACTACACATGTGCAAAACTTTGCAGTTTACTACTAAATAAACAATAGAAAAAGTATAGAATTAGCATAATAAGTATTTAGTGGTATTTATGTTGCTCACATTTAGTTTTTGTACTCTACTATCGATRAACTAAAATATTGTAGTAATGCTTTTATATTAGAGTCAATTTCGTATGAGTGGGAAACGGACGGTACTGTACTGTGACCGTAATCCTGCTGTAAGCAAATTCTAGTGTCTCATTGGTTCGCAAAAATTGTGCTTTTTCATGATTGGATGAACGTGCGGTAGCTGTAGCGGTGACTAAAATTACTGGCGCGGTAAGTCTGCATTCTGATTGGACGAACGTGCGGTAGCGGTAGCGGTGACTGTAACTGCGGTAAGTTTGAATTTTCATTGGTTCTCATCAATAGAAAGTCGAAAGTAATAGAAAATCTTTGAGTTTTATTTTATTAAAGATTAGATCATCTATCTACATGTAGTTGATTTTAAGTTTTGTACGCTGTCGTGTTTTGTTGGTATTTTTAAATAAAAAAAATTCAATTTGAATTCCATTAAATTAATTAAATTCCATTTTGATTATCAAATTAATTAAATTATTAAATTAATTAAATTCCATTTTGTTTAAAAACATGGCTTGGCGAGTTAATAATCAAAATGGAATGTACAAGAAAGGAGCTCCTTTCCCAATGTTAAAGTGACGTCAAATTTTATTAACGTGGCTACAAACCGGTGACAAGACATTCGCAGCTAGGCAAAACATGTGTTCAATTCATGCAGTCTCAAAAATAGTCGAGAAATATGCTCTAACGGGAAGTTGTAGTCCAGGAGATCGCGGAAAACCTCCAAAAAATGGACATCTGGAAAGCGGCTTACATTGAAATACTCGTGACAGTCTATCCTTTCATTTACATTGAAGAACTCCAGCAAGCCTTGGCTAATGATCTAAATCTACAACCCGGTGACATACCTTCTCTATCGGTAATTTGTAGAACTTTAAAAGAACTTGATTTAACTCGCCACAAAGCGACTCAAGTAGCCATTGAGCGCTTTACACCTCACAACATGGCTCGGAGACAAGCTTTTTTAGATGGCGGATGACAGTAGATCCCAGTACAGTCTACTTTCTCGACGAGACGGCGTTTCAACTTGATGGCGATATTCGGAGAACTGGGCGTTGCCACACAAACGAGTCACTACCTGTGTACGCTAAAAAGAACGACAACAGAGTGAAAATGTCTGTTCTCGCAATYATTGGATTCAACCAAGGAGTTTTGGGAGCATACCCTATTCATGGCAGTTTCAACACTGTACAATTWAACTTTGTTTTAGCTTAGTTCCTTCTGCCATTGGTCCCAGCAGGGTCTTWTATAGTGATGRACAACGCCTCTATTCATAATGAAGCAGATTTGGTTAGACTGTTTGCACCACACAACATTCGACTTGTAAAACCAATAATGTACTCGTACGATCTAAATCCCATAGAGATGGTGAATGGTTTGGCGAAAACTTTTTCTAAACAAACCCCAAGGCAGTTAAGAGCAAACATGCCACTTGGAATTGTCAAGGCATTTTCCCTTCTTGGTAGGCAAGCTCTGCGAGGTTTCTACCGAAAAAGCTGGAKAATTTTCACTTGAACTCGCTCGAAAACTTCATAAGAACTACCAAATCGAGGCTTAGTGAAACAGGTAGCGCGCAGTTGGAGTCTTGCAACGTTATGWGAACAATGAAAGAAACACTGCACTATGTTTTGATCAACCAAAGCAAACTTTATTAGATTGCTGATAAAGATCCAACATGTTATAAAAYGTATTCTTTTAATTATAATGTTAAACGAAAATTTAATAATTTAATAATTTCTATATTGTGAGCGCATTGAGTTTGGTAAATGCGCAATAACAACATATCTTATTGTGATTAAAATACTAATAAATACGAATAAATATCAATGGGTCAAATGTTAATAAAAAAATTGACCGGGTATGAATGGTGGTTGAAATACCTAAATAGAGAAGCAATACAATTGTCAATGTCAATTATTCATTGATACAGTTTTATGACAGGGAGCATGGAAAATGTACCTTCAAAATTTGAGTTCAWTGGACTAAACTTAGCATGAAATCATAATTTTGACAGGTTTTGGATTTTATAGCTGCGGAAAACTCTAGGATATTGACATGAACAACTATTTTGACTCATGCAATGAGAACCAAAGATGGAATGTAATCCATCTATTAACTAAAGACAATAATTGCATAATTTGGGATTTTTATGAGGCAGTCATACAATTAGTAAAAAATGTAGACCAGTTTTAAATAAACTGTGATTAACAAATGATTGAAGTTTAACACAATTTTTTATGAGTGCCAAATTGATTGCAACAGTTATGACCAGTG